TGTTGCTGGTTCAATGGCAAAGATAAGGGCTCATTCCCAAATGGCACCCTATTCCCTTTAAAGTGCACTACTTTTGACTAGGGCCCATAGGGTTGCACGATATAGGGAATAGTGTGCCATTTGGGATGTACCCATGGAGGAGAAACACGATGCAGCACAATGAAAGGAGTGTCTAGCCCTGGCACACTTACTGATTATCATACCACATTAGCTTACACTTCCTTCCTGCACACACACTGATTACTACGCATTACTACACTTCCTTCCTGCACACACACTGATTACTACGCATTACTACACTTCCTTCCTGCACACACACTGATTACTACGCATTACTACACTTCCTTCTGCACCACACTGATTACTACGCATTACTACACTTCCTTCCTACACACACACTGATTACTACGCATTACTACACTTCCTTCCTGCACACACACTGATTACTACGCATTACTACACTTCCTTCCTGCACACCACTGATTACTACGCATTACTACACTTCCTTCCTCACACACACTGATTACTACGCATTACTACACTTCCTTCCTACACACACACTGATTACTACGCATTACTACACTTCCTTCCTACACACACACTGATTACTACGCATTACTACACTTCCTTCCTACACACACACTGATTACTACGCATTACTACACTTCCTTCCTCACACACACTGATTACTACGCATTACTACACTTCCTTCCTACACACACACTGATTACTACGCATTACTACACTTCCTTCCTGCACACACACTGATTACTACGCATTACTACACTTCCTTCCTACACACACACTGATTACTACGCATTACTACACTTCCTTCCTGCACACACACTGATTACTACGCATTACTACACTTCCTTCCTGCACACACACTGATTACTACGCATTACTACACTTCCTTCCTACACACACACTGATTACTACGCATTACTACACTTCCTTCCTGCACACACACTGATTACTACGCATTACTACACTTCCTTCCTCACACACACTGATTACTACGCATTACTACACTTCCTTCCTGCACACACACTGATTACTACGCATTACTACACTTCCTTCCTCACACACACTGATTACTACGCATTACTACACTTCCTTCCTGCACACACACTGATTACTACGCATTACTACACTTCCTTCCTGCACACACACTGATTACTACGCATTACTACACTTCCTTCCTGCACACACACTGATTACTACGCATTACTACACTTCCTTCCTCACACACACTGATTACTACGCATTACTACACTTCCTTCCTACACACACACTGATTACTACGCATTACTACACTCCTTCCTACACACACACTGATTACTACGCATTACTACACTTCCTTCCTGCACACACACTGATTACTACGCATTACTACACTTCCTTCCTACACACACACTGATTACTACGCATTACTACACTTCCTTCCTGCACACACACTGATTACTACGCATTACTACACTTCCTTCCTACACACACACTGATTACTACGCATTACTACACTTCCTTCCTGCACACACACTGATTACTACGCATTACTACACTTCCTTCCTACACACACACTGATTACTACGCATTACTACACTTCCTTCCTACACACACACTGATTACTACGCATTACTACACTTCCTTCCTGCACACACACTGATTACTACGCATTACTACACTTCTTCCTGCACACACACTGATTACTACGCATTACTACACTTCCTTCCTGCCACACACACTGATTACTACGCATTACTACACTTCCTTCCACACACCCACTGATTACTACGCATTACTACACTTCCTTCCTGCCACACACACTGATTACTACGCATTACTACACTTCCTTCCTGCACACACACTGATTACTAGCATTACTACACTTCTTCCTACACACACATGATTACTACGCATTACTACACTCCTTCTACACCACACACTGATTACTACGCATTCTACACTTCCTTCCTGCCAAACACACTGATTACTACGCATTACTACACTTCCTTCCTACACACACACTGATTACTACGCATTACTACACTTCCTTCCTGCACACACACTGATTACTACGCATTACTACACTTCCTTCCTGCACACACACTGATTACTACGCATTACTACACTTCCTTCCTGCACACACACTGATTACTACGCATTACTACACTTCCTTCCTGCACACACTATGATTATACGCATTACTACACTTCCTTCCTGCACACACACTGATTACTACGCATTACTACACTTCCTTCCTACACACACACTGATTACTACGCATTACTACACTTCCTTCCTACACACACACTGATTACTACGCATTACTACACTTCCTTCCTGCACACACACTGATTACTACGCATTACTACACTTCCTTCCTACACACACACTGATTACTACGCATTACTACACTTCCTTCCTACACACACACTGATTACTACGCATTACTACACTTCCTTCCTACACACACACTGATTACTACGCATTACTACACTTCCTTCCTACACACACACTGATTACTAGCATTACTACACTTCCTTCCTGCACACACCACTGATTACTACGCATTACTACACTTCCTTCCTACACACACACTGATTACTACGCATTACTAACTTCCTCCTACACACACACTGATTACTACGCATTACTACACTTCCTTCCTCACACACACTGATTACTACGCATTACTACACTTCCTTCCTGCACACACACTGATTACTACGCATTACTACACTTCCTTCCTCACACACACTGATTACTACGCATTACTACACTTCCTTCCTACACACACACTGATTACTACGCATTACTACACTTCCTTCCTACACACACACTGATTACTACGCATTACTACACTTCCTTCCTGCACACACACTGATTACTACGCATTACTACACTTCCTTCCTACACACACACTGATTACTACGCATTACTACACTTCCTTCCTACACACACACTGATTACTACGCATTACTACACTTCCTTCCTACACACACACTGATTACTACGCATTACTACACTTCCTTCCTACACACACACTGATTACTACGCATTACTACACTTCCTTCCTACACACACACTGATTACTACGCATTACTACACTTCCTTCCTACACACACACTGATTACTACGCATTACTACACTTCCTTCCTACACACACACTGATTACTACGCATTACTACACTTCCTTCCTACACACACACTGATTACTACGCATTACTACACTTCCTTCCTACACACACACTGATTACTACGCATTACTACACTTCCTTCCTACACACACACTGATTATAGCATACTACACTTCTTCCTACACACACACTGATTACTACGCATTACTACACTTCCTTCCTACACACACACTGATTACTACGCATTACTACACTTCCTTCCTACACACACAATAAGACAAGTATTTGCTATATTCACATAGCTCTTTCATATCTATGTTAGGCTACACCCAGTCAGCACACAGCTGTTGTCAGTCAGTGGAGTTTCCATGTGTCTGATATGATTTCAGTAAAGGCTATCAGAGTATTAGACAGATGTTGTGGTGCTGAGAGAGAGAGACTGTGCCCCTCTGGGTTGGGTTGGGGTATACTACCCACTCAGTACCCCTCTAGGTAGGTACAGGCAGTGGTATCAGGGTACAGAAGATTTCTGTCCAACAATACCCCAGAGAGCGCCACTGCCCCAGGAATTTGGCCTTAGCAGCGAGAGGGACCTGGGACGGAATGAACACAGCGGCTTATTTTGGCGGTCACGTTTTTTAGATCAACCTCCGAATGGGCAAATCATCAGTAGGAGATTTCTAGCTGTCAATTCCTGACTGATGAAACAGCGTTTGGTTATCTCTTTATTCCAGGAGAG